TAAGAGAGCCCAGCACACCTTCCCCAGCTCAGCTTCTCTCACAAGCAACAGGCAGGATGCTGTGGTCACCATCTCTGACTCAGTTACACCAGACAAGGTCAAATCTCCCCTGCTYGTRRAAAAACAACTTRCCCACATCCTGRAGGGGAAATAAGGCTTTTCTCACCCTGCCTGAGCTCCTGCTGGCTTCAGGAGWGYCTCTGCAGAGGACATGGCAAGGTCTGCTGCRTGCAGCTTGGTCAGGTCAGACCCTCAGGCCCTGCAGACACCTTCACTCTGTTGCAAATGATACCAAGTTTAAAAATTTCAATATAACTTTAGTCAGAGGTTTTGTTCACCTTTGCTCAGTGGGAAGGGAATTGAAGTTTCCTTTCAGGGGACTGTTTCACCAGGTCTGATGGGCTTAACACCTCAACAGAATGACAAAAGATAACAACTGTTAAGAACATCAACTCCAAACATCACCCCTGGCATGGTCAGAGACATCTGGTCTGAGAAAAGATCAATAAGAAACCAAAGAAAGAACCTAATTAATATCTAAGGTCAATAACCAATATGAAAGTGAATACTAAAAACTGTTGTCACAAACAAGAGTTTTTGAGATCACTTAAAAAATCATTGACAAGTGTACAAGCAAAAGACAGATTTAATATTAAGCAACAAAGTACAACAAGTTCATTGGCAAGATTCACTTTACAGGGCAGCTAAGGCATAGCAAGGGGAAGCAAGTGATAAAAAAACCAAACAAAATCCAGGCAATAAAAATAGAAATTAATTGAGAACTGTCTAGGGGTGTGTGTGTGTGTGTGTGTGAAAAGATAGTTCAGGCAAGGATAAAAAGGATCCGAGCCTAAAAGCTTAACAACATTGAAACCTAATCCCTAATTACTACGTTTAGTAATTTAACACAGGGAAAACACTTGACTTATACCCAACTTAAAATACATTTAATTTATAGGTTAACCTTAACAATCTAACAGAGGAATAACACTTAACAGCATTTAAACTAACTTAAAACTTTTGTATCAAAATTAGTAACTTAACAAAAGGGCACTTAGCAACAGTTAAATTATGTTAAACGAATTAGAAAAAAACCAAAGCACCACTTAAGTAAACATAACTACTACTTAACCTCACTTACAGGCCTGGATATCTGAGGTACTCAAACGTCTAAGAAAGCAGCATTTCTCTCAGATTGGCTATAGCATGTGCTCAGGGGCATGCATGCAGACAAAAAGTGTGCAATCGAGATAGGTACCTGTGAAGAATTCCCCTCAGAAGTAGGTGAAATCCTCACGTCGGAGGCTGTTGTGTCTCCCTCAGGCCGAAGGATCAGGCCTCGAGCAGTGCGACATCGGCCCAGGACACATCATGTTCCAGAGATCCTCCAGGTACAGCAAACCTGACGGTGTGCTGGCTCTGAGAGCTGTCCCCATCAGCGGGAATGCTGTCCCCTCACAGGGAATGCTGTCCCCTCACAGGGAATGCTGTACCCTCACAGGGAGATGCTGTCCCCCTCACAGGGAGATGCTGTCCCCCTCACAGGGAGATGCTGTCCCCTCACAGGGAATGCTGTCCCCCTCACAGGGAATGCTGTCCCCTCAGTGGGAATGCTGTCCCCTCAGAGGGAATGCTGTCCCCTCAGAGGGAATGCTGTCCCCTCAGAGGGAGATGCTGTCCCCTCACAGGGAATGCTGTCCCCCTCACAGGGAATGCTGTCCCCTCACAGGGAGATGCTGTCCCCTCAGAGGGAATGCTGTCCCCTCAGAGGGAGATGCTGTCCCCTCAGAGGGAGATGCTGTCCCCCTCACAGGGAATGCTGTCCCCTCACAGGGAATGCTGTCCCCTCACAGGGAATGCTGTCTCCTGAGAGAGAGATGCTGTCCCCTCAGAGGGAATGCTGTCCCCTCAGAGGGAATGCTGTCCCCTCAGAGGGAGATGCTGTCCCCTCACAGCGAATGCTGTCCCATCAGAGGGAATGCTGTCCCCTCAGAGGGAGATGCTGTCCCCTCANGGAATGCTGTCCCCTCACAGGGAATGCTGTCCCCTCAGAGGGAATGCTGTCCCCTCACAGGAAATGCTGTCCCCAGCCCGTGGTGGCTCAGGAGAACTCAAAGGGCCCCATTTTGGAGCACTTTTTAGGGCCGCAAGGGATCCCAAGCTTCAGGTAGAGCAACGTTTCACCCTGGCCCCGGTTTGGGTCAGCACTTTCACTGAAAGTGTGAGAACAGGAATGTTAGGCCCTTCAGGCCAGAGGAATGTTTTCCAACACTGATCATAAGGAAAACAGGAGCTTGTTAGTAGTTCTTGGGAGCAGACTGTTTTTGATAAGCTTGGGCAGAGCTGAGCCTGGTGTAGTTTTTAAGATTGAGGCCTAAGGAGCATTTCTCAGATCCCACTGTGGCCTGGAAAGGAGATGAGGGGGAATGCAGCACCACAACTATGTGACTTGGGACTGTCAGGAAAATTAATCCACAAGCACCAGAGGTTTATGTCCAAAAAGGAAACAGAAGAGTCCTGCAACGTTATTCATGAATAAAAGGAGAGGTCATGGGCATTTCCCATGGGGTCTCTCAAATTCATAGAGGATGCAGCCTCTTTTTATCCCAATTTCCCGGCCACAGTTCCCTCTCTTTCCCCATTGGCTGAGGTATTGAGAGGTACAGGCTCCCCGAAACACCTGATGAAACCCCCTCTTCTATCATACTTTGCCCCCTTTCRATATACATCGCTGTGTCTCTGCTCTTGTAGGCTATTAACATAGTGTGGGATAAGTCAATCAAAGGAATTCCTATGGAAATTCTTCCCATTGTTTCCTTCTATCTCCCAGTATCAGCCTTATCTTACCCCAGAATCAGTCTGTTTGTAAAGACACTACCTTCTCATTCCTTTCAGGACCGATGAACATTGAACCCGTGAATATTTCTGGGTTTTGACTGTATAAATATGGGAAAAAATCTAGTAAAAACCTTGTGGGATGGAAAGACTTTCTCTGTACACCCAAGCAATGTGTGGGTGAAATTCTTTCTGTTGCCCATCCTGGCCAGAGTTAAGTAATGCTTTGGTTCTCTAACAGTAAAAAATGGTTTTGGAGAGTTTYTSTTTTTCCTGCAGTTTCAGTGACAAGACCACCCACAATGTGAATAATAATAAAACTTTTGAAGTAATTGTAGGAATGTTTTTGCCTCCAGCACATCTTTATTCTTACTCTCCTGCACACATAGAGTGTGGTATCTAACATCTCTCCTGCTGAGCAAGTCCAAACAGTGAGAGCTCTCTCCTGTGGCAGAGAACATTAAAAGCATCCTGAAATAATAAACCTCTTTCCAAGAGATTACATGGGAAAGCATCATGAAGAACAAGGAATTCTGAATAGCAGGGAGAATATTTGGCATTTTCCCCACATTTTTATTTTATAAGAATGTGACAGAAGGAGAGGTTGGTAACAGTACCAACATCTCTGTATTGCCTGACCCCTTGGCAGCTCAGCCCCTTGAACTCTCATGTAGCAAAGCCTGAGCCTTACCCTTGCAGAAAACCTCAGTGTTTTTTCCCATGTGTGCAAGGAGCAATATTAAATAGCTTTTTATACTGCTAAATCCTTCTGCTTTCTTATACAGCAATAAAAATACAATGTAATAATCATATTCCTGCATCTGCTGGGTGTGTTCTGACCTACCTGTTTTGTTTCCCCAAATACTAAAAAGTTCCTGATAAAATTAGATCTATTGGTGTAAACTCAAACTTCTTTCTCTGATCTCTYCTGCTACCTTCTGGTCAAAGTGTTTATTGCTCTCACAACACTTTGTATTTCATGAAATCCGGCAAATAGCTCAAACAGAAGAAAAAAAAACGAGCAAAAAACCAATCAACCAACCAAAGAAACCACTCAAACCCCACAGGAAATGTTGTGTCTGCACATGCCACAAATTAAACTTCCTTTGCTCTTCATTTGCATTCTTGCCTTGCCAGCAGGTGCAGCTGGAAACTCTTGCTAAGTTATACACAGGCTTTAGAAAGTCCACGGCCAGAAGGCTGAAAGAGCTGAATAACTAAAGTGAGATTCAAAGAAGCTTAATTTGAAGTTCCAAACTAAAGCAGGGCTACAGCTGGAAGTGATTTGTAACAGAAGAAATGGAATAGAATGTGGGAAGCACTTGCAGCACTGCTTTCAAAATTCCTCAGGATTTCTAAAGGAGTTTCAAACTCTAAATTATTCAAGAAACTTGTTGGTCAAATTGCCCTTGGCTGAAGGAAAGATGTCTTGCTGGGATTAAGGGATGCATTTGTGCCCCAAAAAAGCTGTTATGCCTAAATGAGGTCTTCCAAATATGTGGATGTCTGGCTAAACAAACAGCAGGTATGAACCAGCCAGGAATGCAGCCCAAGCTTTCTGGCTGCAAGCAATGATGAGGCTGATAAGGAAATGAGGGGATGCAAGTGCCAGAGTGCCTGGTGCCCCGRGATGAGAATATTGAGATGAAGTTGTTTCCTGCAGGAAGGCTGGAGCTGAGGGGCTCTCAGGAGCTGCAGTCCTTGGAACTGTGAGGTGTCTGTGGAGGGGTTTCTCACTGGGGTTCCTCCCATCGAGTTCTGCCCGTGGACCTGGCTTTTTCTGCAGACAGGTGAGTCTGTTTGCATGGCACAAACCTGTGAATGTAATTAAAACCTGCTTTAATATAAACCAGTTGGGAATTCACGGTGCTGTGCATTGGAGTGGCGTCTTTCAGGCATTGCAGAGGGTGTGCTTTGAACAGCTCTAAGTGGGTCTAATGGAACAACCAAGGGGAGGSTGGGTTTAAAAAAGCCAGCCTTAGACATGATCTCTTGCTGTGGGACTCTGGGAAAATGACTTATCCTTCGGTGTACAATWCACTCTCTGAAATAGGAGAGAGAAATTCCTTACATCTTGTTCTGTATGAGTATGGAATGACTTAAACACATAGAATTGGTCTGGTCCTGTTTTGAAATTAACTTGAACTAATAAATTTTTTCTATCTATTTTAAAGAAATACAGAAAATGTTCCAGTTATATATGTTTTATATATATATATGTATCTCATTTATGATATATATGTGTATAAAACATATATATAACATATATATATGTTATATGTATCAGTGGGAGAGTTTCCATTTGTTAAACAAGTTTGTGCATTTATTTAGCCATGATAACCCTGTGTAAAGGAAAAATCCTGGCTGTTCTCACCAGCCAAGAAGAAAATATCATTAGCTGATGGTTCTMTTTTCTTCCTTTTTCTTGTTTTGTGTGAGTAAATATATTTGAGACTGCTTGACTGAAGTGGAAGGATGAACAAAGTGATGCCCATACTTTTTTTTTCCATCTGATCTCGAATACCCATTCAGAATGGGTTTTTTTTCTGTGCAGAGTGGGACACAGAAAGAGAGGTTGCATTCCTGGGAAAAATAGAAGTTTGGAATAAATTTTCATTTTGCTGTAAGGAAAATCTGCATCTATTCAGTCATTTTAGAAACCGGTACAAAATTATTGGTTTCATCATAATCGTGTCAGTTAGCACCGTTACCAAACTGAGAAAAGTGTGGCTGGTTTTAGAGGTGCTGATATTTTAATGCATTTTTCATGGCTTTGAATATTTAATCCCTGCGTACAATTATCAAATTGCTTTAAAATTAACATTATTGATGCTTCTATATGATAAGGAATAATTAAAAATCGCAATGTGCCATGGAAATATCTTAAATTTCAGGAGAGGAAGGAGGTGGTGTTTTTGTAAAGGGCTGAGCTGCTGTGGGCCTGATCTTTGAGAAGCTCCAGTTTCTGGCTGCATTTCAGGTGACAGTGCTTTCAGGTGAGTGGCTCCTCTTTGACTGCAGCAATGTGGGGATGGTRTTTCCAAGGGTCTTGCTCCCATTGACAATTCCAAAATGTGGGAAAAAATGACAGAAGTACAAACCACTTCCCTGCCAACCACAGCAGCCAGTCTGGGGAAGCGAAAGGAAGATAATCAGTAAAATTCTGCTTTTGAAGCAATTTCAAAACTTTAGTCTAATATAGCAATGAAGTATCTCCCAAAAGATGCCAATGAGAACAGAAAATGCAGCTGAGTAAGAAAGACTGGAAACAACATTGCAAATCAATGGATATGAGCAAATTAGATTGTATTATTCCGGTGCATTTAAATGAGCTTAATACACAGAGATGGCCAATGTAATTTAATTTGGTTTTAATTAATTTACTTTTATTTTTCTGYAATTTAAAAWTARTTTTTATTMWTTTTAAATGCTTTTTTTCTTTTAMTTATTCACATTTTATTTTAATTCRCATTCATTTAACTTYTGAAGGCCYGTAGCAATTGAGCCTCGGTACTAAATCATGTGTTTTCTGTTAGTTGTCATTCTGCAAATTCAGACCAGTTTCTGACTGGTCCAGCTGGTTGTAGTTGTCATTCCAGTGTTACAAGAGAAGGAGTTGGGAAGCCACTGCCTTTTCAGAGGCAGAGACATCCTGTGGAATGGTTTGTCCTGTGTGGGAGGGTTTGAAGTTACATTTGAGAAAGGAAAATTTGGTTTCAAATCCGATGGTGTTTTTTTTCTGTACATCAGCAATTTGAAAAAAAATCTAGAATTAGTGCATGAGATGAAAAACTAACTACATGCTTTGCTKTGCTTCTTTTTTAAACACAATTTTTTTACAAACCTTTCTATGGTACTGGACATGCCAGCTTGCTTATTGTCAAGGGGTAATACCTCACACTAAAACCCACTCAGCGTAAGAACTTCTGAGCTTGTTTTACTTGTTTTTGTTTTCTTTTTTGTCTAAAAAGATCCATTATTTCTCCTTAAATATGAGGAATACTCAGACCATGTCCAAATGGGGAAAACATCTCCATGAAATCTCTTGGTTTACAGCTAAACCAGACAGATAGGAGCAAATGAATTCTTGTCCTCAGTAAATATCAGCAATAATCCAGCATTCCTGAAGGCAAAGTGACCAATTTGTGACCAATTTTCACTCTTTTTAGTGTAGGTTGGTGGTTTCTCTCTCAGCAGCACTAGAGCAGCCCCTACAGCTCTGTTGGGTGAAAAACATGTGCTTTTGTAGTTTTATAGTGAAAGAATAATAGAGAATGCTGAGAAAGAAAGTGGTTGGAGCAGAAGAATGTGGTTGTTTCAAACAGCTGCTCTACATGGAGATCTTGGAATTAATATTCAGAAGTGCCTTAAAGAACAGGGTGTTTTACACTAGGCTGCTCAGTTTTGACCTAGGGAGCTTGAGAAGAAACACCCTGAGAGATCTATGARCACACATCAAAGTTAAACATCTCCTTTTACTCAAAAGCTGCTGCCAGCAGTTTTGGTAAAGCTCTTTGTCACTGTGAAACTCCGGAGGTAGCTACGCCAAGCTGACTTTTGGAAAAGGGACAAAACTGTCTGTTAAACCAAGTAAGTACCAGAAATATATAARAACCTGAGCTTTATAATGCTGAGATGAGCTTGGGCACATCCCTGGAATGTTCAAGKCCAGGTTGGATGGGGCCCTGAGCTGCTGGATCCAGGGAGATGATCTTTAAGGTCCATTTYAACYCAAACCATGGTAAGTATCTATGATTCAGGGATTTAAAGAAAATTTTGTCCCTAAATTATAATCTTGCCAGCTACCAAGGGTAACTGGATGTGTCACCTTTCAGATACAGAATAAGTGAATATTCATCTTTAAATTGTTGAAATTGTGAGTCCAGTTTGCTCTCTTTCATGCAAAATATTCAAGGTCAAATCTGCCAGCGCAAGGGGATTTTGCCTCCACTATCTTCAGTGCTTTTTGAGGTGTTTTTTTGGGTTTTTTTTTTCAGAGTTAATAACCCCAAGATGAGAACTGTGCTTGAAAMATGTCTTTGTTTYCCTATTGGTTATAARGGACCCTAGGAGTGTAGTAAGTTTAGACAGCTCACATGTGTAGGACACTTTTTTGGTCTCTCARGATACCTCATTTGCCTGAACATGTAGTTCACAGTGTGAGTTTCTTTTCAAATTAAAGTTTTTACAAGTTTTACCTTTAGAAATTGAAAGAAGCATTTAATAATTACTGCTTTTTTAATGAGCAGGGAGAAAGTCTGTTATGGATCAGAAGTTTCCATTGCCAGGATTTTGTAAAGGAATGCACATAAAAGTAAAGCCAGTAAGAATGGTGAAAGGCTTTAGGAAACAAGTGCCTGTGGTTCTGAGTATTGCAGGCAGGTACATCTGGGCAAACAAGTCCAGCACCAGTTCCCCATGGAGTTTAACTGATGATTTGGGGAACTTTCTTATTCTAAGTTTTCAAAATTGAAGTGAGGAAAGCWATGTGAACACTTACATTTCAGTATTCCAATAAATTTGGCATTTAATTTACATATAACGTAGGCTTTAAAATCACTGGGATARCAAAGGCTGTGAAGAATTTATACATGATCTTACCTGACCCTGATCACTGAAATCTGTTGACAGAAAGGTGGGTTTTTTTGGTTTTTTTTTCTAATGAAGTATTGCCTTGTAGATGCTTTTATGGCTGAAAATAGATATATAATTAAGATTTTGATAATGAGTGATAATTACTCCTTGGTGAAAAAAATCAGTTTCCAGTTTAAAATAGAAAGAAAATGAAGGGATTCTCACAATTAGGCGTAACAGGTTGATGGGGATGGCTTTAGTTAAGCCATGAGTCTCATTCCTTAAGAAGCTATGGATATCATAATTTTCTACTCTCAGTTTTAYTTAGTTGGCTTCTCTTCTAGGAAAAGAGGAGTTTAAAAGGCAAATACATTTCTTTGGATGGTTTTTGCAAAGCACTTTAGGGCTGTGTGAATACAGGAAACTTGGGGAAATTAACTTTTGGACAAGGAACAAGAATTATTGTAAAACCAAGTAAGTGAAGAGCAAATAACTTAATAATTACACTTCGGTGTTCTTTTTTTCTAAATATTTTATTTGTCTGAAGGTTTAGGAAATGTTTTCTCTGTTCTGGTGGGCATCCATAAGACTGAAAACTTTTTCATTATTTCTTATGCAAACCCTTCTCAAAAGTACTGTCTTACAAGGGCAGTTGCATGGAATTATTCAGACAAATCTTTTTTGTTCTTTTATAGTCGGTATGTTGACACAATAATGGTTGCAAAGAAATGTTGCAATACTAAATACTGTCTTTTTGTACTCATGCTCCATCTGAAATATCTTAAATGAGGAAAAAAAAGTGAAATAAAAAACTTGTTTGCTTTTACAGGCCAAAAATATATACTGATGTGGATAGTAAAGAATTAAATACTGTCGTTAATGATAAGATTCAGTTTAGCAACATTTTAAGCAACAGAAGTAAATTTCTGTGAATAACACAGCAAGCATATTTTGCTTCATACTGGTTTCTACAGGTTTGGGAGAGTGGTTAAATCTGTCACTCAGCAGCAGGTGGGAATCTGTTCTGTTCATCCTGCAGTGGTTTTTATAAAGTGCCTTGTCACAGTGTGTCTACTGGTAACAGGAAGGTCACTATGGGTGGAGGAACTCGTCTGTTTGTGCTTCCAAGTAAGTCTTCCAGCAAAAGTAGTGTTTCAGCATTTGTTTTCACTCAGAAATAGCGTTTTGGCACATCCCAGATCCAGCCAGAGTCCGTTCCGTGTGACTCCTCAGTACTCAGCAGAGCTGGATGCAGAAATATTCTTGTGCTCTGGTCCTGGAGATCTCCCAGAGATTCAGCTGGAATGATGAATTCAGATCCCTCCTGGAGCCTCACAGCTCTGTAGACAGACAGGATAACTGCAGGTGTCTGTTAAATTCCATCCTGCCCTTGCAATTCCAAGGAGGTGCAGTTCATAAAGGAGTTTGTGCTCAAATCTCCCAAGCTAAAAAGTGCACAGACTTTTTCTTGCTGAAATGGGCATATCCATCACAGAAACTCATTGGGAGTACGGTTAACTACCAGACTGCAAGGGTAGTTAAAGAGAACTGCAAGTTCTCTTTCTCTTCTTTATATTTCAATGAGCAGATATTCTCTGAATTCTTAGTGAGGAACGGAAGCTTGTATTTAGGATGGAAGCATTTTCCTGTCCAAGTTGCTTTCAGAAGGGAAACATTTTATTGAGGTGCCAAATATATGCCTAGATTTTCTTTGCCAGGTTCAGTAAATCTGGGATGGGATTATCTGAGCTCACTCCTGTCCAGAAATGGTCACAGAGCAGGAGTTTTCTGGGTTTGTGTGCATTTGCAGGACAGGAAAGGTTTTTGCAAAGTAATTAAATGATGTGTGAATTCAGGAAGCAGCCTTACAAAGCTCCAGTTTGGCAAAGGAACGAGGCTCAGTGTCAAACCAAGTAAGTGCATGATCTGAACCAGAATGTTTTGAGAAATATTGGAGAATCAGATGCTTGGAATTTATAGCATGTAATTACCCTGGGAGGGGAATCTCCTTCTGTATCTGCTGCTTCTAGGGCTGAAATGAGAGTGTGGCTGGAATGTTTATTGGAAGCAGAGAAGCAAGAAGAAATCTGGGTTTTTTTGTAAGGTCTGAGAGTTCATGGAGAGTAGCTGTTATGAGACAAGTCCTTCCAGGAATTGCAGTAAGTTTCTAATCACACAAAGTGTGCAAGGACTAAATTTCCAGCAAAATGGAAACCATGTAAATCAGCGTGGGGTACCAGAGAAATGACAAGTCTTTCACCAGACCTGATTTTTGGTGACAAGACTACTGAGCTGTCTCATTTCTCGATTTACTTGACCTTCATGGTATTCCTTGGTAGAAGGAGACACTGCAGACAGTGTAAAAGAACAGATTTCCCTTGTGCTTTTCACATTTATCCCTTTTGAAGAGCACCACAAGGTCTCCCCAAATGTGCAAGTTACATGAGCAAGAAAGGAGAAGACAGCTCTTCAGAGAACTGGCAAGTCTCTGTCCTATAAAAAAAGTGATTTAATATGTATTAATAGATATAGAAGAGCCTGCAGAATTTCTGCTTGTGTGACATACTGGGCCGGGTGTCCTTGTCCCCTGTTACATCTTCCCCTGAAAAACCATTCAGGACTGGGGAGTGCTGGCAATGTCTGTCTGTCCAAAGCACAGCTTTGAAAATAGATGTGAACCCTATTATTTCTGCAGGGAGGGCTTTAGTTTATTCCTGACTATGCCAAAGCCTCCCATGATCAGGGCACTTCATCTTTTTGGACCTGTAAAAAGTTTTGACACAAAACTGCCAGGACAGAGAGCAGAGACAGCCCAGCTTTCATTTTGTGCAATCTCAAACAGGCATTTGGCACATACAGTTTTATTTTGATGACAAATTGAGTCTCTTGCCCTGCAAACTGAAATGTGCAGAAGAGCGTGGGGTTTTTGTAAGGGAGTGTTTGACTGTGTGTATTCAGGAAGTACAAACAAACTGACCTTTGGAAGCGGAACCAGGCTGCTGGTAAAGCCCGGTAGGTAACCCTTCATCAAGGACTGACTGAACCTTTTAAGTTTTTTGTTAGATCTTCCTTAAAATACAGAGGAAAAAGTTTCTTTAGAACATGAAGGAAAGATGGCATGGGGGAGGAGAGCACTATTAGTTTCTAACTGCTGTGCCACGTTGCTTTGAGTAGAACAGCTCAGAAACTGCTCTTGGGCTGAAAATCAGTGAATTGCTTTGTGTGTGCCAGAGTCTCAGTTAGAGGAAACCATCAGGGAATGTATTTGGGATTAGCATACAGGAATAGCTTTTGATTACTCAAAAATTAGAGCTGGTTTCTGGGTCTTGGGTTTGGATCCCTTACTGGGTTCATTGACAACTAAACAAACAAGAAAAATTAGAACTTTAGAGTGGTTTTCTCTGGAAGTTTCTGTCTAATTTTTTTTTTTTTTGCTTCTTTCTCTTATGGGTCTGGTCCCTTGCTGAGCTTCTGAGATTAGCTGGCTGATCTGCTTGACTCTTTTAGATGTTTTTAGATGAGAAATTTTCAGAACAGCTCGGTTAATTGTTAAAAAAAAGGAGTGAAAATTCCATCCCCTTTTGAAATGTCAGTGTGTTCTGGCTGTTAAAGGCTGAGGCTTCTCTCCTTTACCATTTTTGTATAAAGGTTGATTACTGTGGGATAGCTGAGTCTTCCTGGAAACTCACCTTTGGGAGAGGCACAAAACTAATTCTGAAATCAGGTACATCTGAAAACAAATAGTTTTTTTCACATTTTAAGGGCAAGGCTGAGATTCTCCTGTCTCCTAAACAATACTAAAATTGTACAATTTGAAATCTGTCCAAAGACTTCAACTATGTTATGCTAATAGGGTTTTTCTATTGCATTCAGAATTGTTTCTGTCTGGAAAGATCAGAGGTTTGCAGCTGGAAAACATCCTAATTTAGAGACAAAGATATGTGGCACAGGTGACATCTGTTTTTCCCCTTGATCTCTTTGAAAAACATACCAAAGTGGACCCAAAGCAGTGTGTGGTTTTTGTTAGAGAATGTGTCACTGTGTGAATTCAGGATCTGGCTGGAAAGTGATCTTCGGAAATGGGACACAACTGGTAGTGAAACCAGGTAGGCAGAAAACCTGAGGGAGTTAAGGATGGAAAAGCCCAATTTCTCTTTCCAGGAAAGCACTAAAACAGTCATTAAAATTCCAGTGTTCTTTCCATCTGAGAGCAGTTGAAGGTCACGAGTTGACCTTGCATCAGAGAAAAAAAAAAAATCATTATAAAGCTGAATACCTACCTGAGGGGCTGGATTTTCTTGTGCCATATGTGTCATTGAGAACTGTGACGTTTGTGAGTTGTTTTCTTCACTTCTACCTGTTCCCAGAAATATCCCAAGCCTGCAGAGCTCTCACTGTCCTTTTATTTCTACTGTCCAGAACCCAGGCAATGTCCTCATTAATTCCCAAAAGCTGCAGCTCCTTCTCTGCTGGGAAAACTTTCTTAGCCTGTGTTCTGTTGCTCCTGCTTCTGGCTCCAGAGAGGTTTCCATGCAGGTTTGCACCCCTTGACAAAAAAAAAAAAATGCTGGGCTGTCATGGAAAGGGGTTGGAACAGGCAGGGCATTTTTTATTTGGGGAATCAAGAAATGGGTTTTGAAGCCATGCAGGAAGGTCCAGGGGGAGATCTCTGCTTTTAGTGTTGATCTAGAAGGAATTTTGCTGGGGGATTTCTTTGTATGAATGAAGGAGAAAACTTTTTGTCAGTGGTCATCTCTGTTCAAAGCAAACGAGACCATCAACTATGAAAAGTCTTTACAGAAAGTGTAAGTTTAAGTTGCCAAGAAGTTTTCTTGGGTAGAAAGTTTAAAAGAATATCAAGTAGGACCTAAGTAGGTACGGCAGGAAAGAAAGGGTTTTTGTTTTGAAGGTAAATACTGTGTGAATAACTACGGAAACAAAGTCACCTTTGTAAGTGGAGTGCAGCTAAGAGTGAAACCAAGTAAGGTTTAAACCATTTTTTTTGCTCATTATTGTATAGATTAAGAAGAAAGATACAAAAATCATACTGGAAATATGAGCTGAAGAGAGGTCTGCTAAGCTAGACCCCAATTACCCTGTCAGGAACCCATGCTCTTCCTTTCAGATAAGCACTGAGGGGTCCTGGCCACATTTGCTGGGGACATTTTGTGCCAGGGCCATACCAGCAGGGTTTGCTTTTTTCTCTCAGTGTGTGGATAAGCTTGTGTTTTTGCTGCACAAGCTCACACTGGCAAAGGGACACAGCTTCAAGTTTCTGCTCAAAAGTGTGACCTCTTTCTTGTTAATGCCTTCTTTGTGGGGCAAAACTTCCCCATGTCCAGCGAGATTTCCAGGATACCTTTCCTGGGCTGGTGGCCCTTCAACTGTGTAGTTACACACCACATTCTCTTCTTCAAGACAGGCTTTGGGAAGAAAGAGCCATGCTCCCAAACAGGGTTTGCATCCA